AAAAAAAAAAAAAAAAAAAAAAGTGAACTTCAGTTCCAACGAAGCTATAATACACTTCACAAATAAAAAATGTATCCATACAAGGAGTTGACTTTGATCTGTTGGTTTCTATCCCAGCTGTATGCTATACATATTGGTACGACAGTGAAATATATTTCAATGTTGTTGCCTCGGACAATAATCCACACAAAATTTAGAGAAGATATATTGCCAAATATAAAAGTTTTCTAATAAGAATCGATAAGTTTGTATGGCAGATATAACCTTTGGAGATCCCAACTGATAAATATGTTGAATGATTATAACGCTGCCCTGGACAATAATCTCAGCTCTATAAAAAAAAAGTTTTCCAACATGGACCTGATTTTAAGGGGTCAAATGGGTTTACAGGTTTCAAAATGAAGATTTTTTTATTGTTTTATTAAATTCTACAATATTTTAGAACATTGTCCTAAACTTTCAAGTTGACCCAACTAATAGATTCGGAGATACAGCCTTGAGAACTTGTGCGCTCGAAACTAACTGCACTAGTGCGCCGTCTTTAAACTCGTTTTTCTCGAAGCTGTGTTTTTTGAAATTCGCTGGTAAGATTTCTCGAGAACTAATCAACCGATCTTTATGAAATACAATTCTTAAATACTTGAACCAAGCATTTTTTTCGATTACAACTATTTCAAACAATGAAAATCGCAATATTTACTGAAGTTTTAATTTTTTTTTTTAAAAACGTTTGCCAAAATCCAATTTTTAATTTTTTCCTTCGTCCAAGCGCTAACTTAAGGTTTTAACTAAAACACGTATGTTTTTCCACTTTAGATGATCCGGTAAGGAGTTATCCTACCAACGCGGTCGCCTTTTTTTTCCGAGTGGTCATGGGAAATGCCGTCATAATGGCTGAGTTTAAAATATATTTTGCCAAAAATTTCAGAATTTCTTTGTTAATAATGTATGATTGTCACAGTAAAAAATTGTACCAAAATATTTAATTTTTCATATGAGGAAAAAGTGTTGAAAAAACGCCGCTTGTTACTAGATGAAACGCAAGTACCGCCTTAATCGATCAGTTTGTACGGCAGCTACATTCCCTAGCGGTCCGATATCGGCGTTTCATTCGTCGAATAAAACGGTATTCAAAATTTAAGGCTAGTATCTCAAAAACTGAGGCACTAGTTCGTGGATGTAAATACAGGCGGACAGATAGACAGTCATGGCTAATTATTGGCTGACCAAGAAATGTTTCCAAAAATGGTATTTTTAACCAAATTTTGTTTGCGGAATCGTTGCGAACGTTGGTAAAGGCTTACGGTGATTAAGTTTTACCAAAAGCACAATGCTACGAGTGGTACAAAGTCGAGAGAAGCCTTGTTCTGGACCTTCGACTTCTCAACTGATGAAAATATTAAAAAAGTGAAGGATATGGTGCTTGAAAATCATCAGACAAGTGTTAGAAAGATGACAAGAGAGCTCGTCATCTCTTGAAAGTCTATTCGAATGATTTTGGTAGATATTTTGGGTATGAAACGCGTTCTTGCTCGACTTGTCCCAATAAAGCTGAACCTTTTCCAAAAAGAGTACCGTAAACAGGTATCTTTGGACAGTCTTGATCGTGCAAATTCCAATCCAACATTCATGAGAGCATTATAACTGCCGATGAGACATGGGTTTATGAGTTTGACTTGCAAACAAGTCAATAACCATCTTAAAGGAAATCGGTTTCAGTCGCTGAAGTGGCTAAAGGCCTCAAAAAGTGCTTATGAAAAGATTTTCGAAATGTATTAGATCTGCGGTGGATTACTTTGAAGACGACAAAATAAATATTGCTGAATAATTAAATATTTTGCGTTTTACTTACAATTTCCGTGTGTTTTTTTGTCACAATGTATATACATTCATTGTGTAGACTACTGCGTTTTTTCTGGGTATTTCAAGCTTTATGACGAACTTAATATACCTGTTCAGGGTATAGTAATCTAGAAAATAAGGTAACAGAATGCTTAAAGACAGATGTTATTCTAGTAAGTTCCCAAAGGTCAGGTGATACAAAAGGTCAAGTTCCCATACACATATGCATGCATGTATGAGCATTTCTTTATGACTTTGTAAACTTAAGAGGTTTCGATAAGTCATAAATAAAATATTAACATTAGTGTATTATTAGTGTSTATTAAGTTAAGAAAAATCGAATGGAAGGCATTCTGTCTTCACGTCTGTAAAAAGAATAAACAAATTCACATTGACGACAAGGTCGCCAAGCAACGGTTGTCCAAAGCGAAACGGAAACAGCTTAACMAATCGTTTCGCCGAACAAAAGCCCGTCGAGCCTACGTCAAAGCTGTTACTGTTACTGCTATTGGGAAAGAACGCAGGCGGCAGGCATTAATTATGTCATTTGTTGTTAAAGAAATTTCCAGTAATAGACATTGGCTTATAAGACCAATTACCGCACCTAATAGTCATAAAAACATTGTAGAGCCGAAAAAGCGCCAATTCCACTCAAACACAAAGGACAATCACACCAAAAGGRCGCGTGCAGTCGACACGTCGCGATTGGACACTTCACGCTGGGTAATTGCATCGATACGGTCGCCGTTGTGCCACACAATATTGTACAACAATTGAGGTGAGTGAGATGCAAGCGTATTTTTGAATGATTCGAAAACAATTTCCCAACGAATTTTGCTATTCTCTGAGGAGAAAATCAACGAAAAGTCAATATTCTTATTCGTGATCGTGGAGCTAGGCTTTCGTGCGTGTGCTCACTTTTTTGCTTTTTCTGGACTGTTTTGTCTCGTTTTACAGTGCGAATATTTTAGTGAGTGCGATAATGTTACGACTATGCCTTGAACGAACTTTTATTAGTTTCGATGACATTTTGTGGACAGGCGACAATTGACTACACAACCACACAACCACACAATTTTCATCAAACATACATTCTAGCTCTCTATGTACACATAAACTGTGTATTTGTGCTGATTATCTTTTAATGCTTGGGCCCATGTACCGAGCACATACTATTAACACACAGACACGCCTTCACTTAGGCCAACTTTGCGGGAAAAATTGCAGTTAAGTGCTGCTCGKAATGCCGTTTAATTATGGATCGCATTCAAATCAATTGCTGTTATAATTATTGACCAGTATGGTTGTTGTAATTAATAATTGATGCGCCTGCACTAACCACAAGATGCCTAACAGCTAACATTTAGTAGCTCGGAACAACAACAGCGGCTTGMAAGCATTGGCAATGAGGAGTYCATTTGTAGTGCTATTGCGCWGGCAGACATTTTGAAATCCTTYACTYCACATTTGCACAATGCTCGACGAGACATCGCACATTGTTAAAGAATTTGTTTATTGTGTTTTGAGCAGAGGTGGCGCCAAGATGTCTGTGACACTCTACTATCTACCGCCGAGTCCGCCATGTCGCGCGGTTTTGTTGCTGGGCAAAATGTTGGGCATCGATTTCGATTTGAAGCTCCTCAATATCTTGGCCGGTGACCAGTTGAAGCCGGATTTTTTGCAATTGAATCCGCAGCACTGCATACCAACCATCAATGATGAAGGACTGGTGTTATGGGAGAGGTGAGCCAAATAAATTACTTATAAAAGTGTGGTAAATAACAATTGTAATTTTTTTTTTTTCAATTTCCAGTCGTGCGATTTTACAATATTTGACCGCAGCTTATGGCAAGGATGACWCACTCTACCCGAATGATGTGCGTGTTCGTGCTTTGGTCGATCAGCGAATTCAGTTTGATTTGGGCACCCTGTATGCGCGGATGTATGACTACTACGTGAGTATGCACCTGGCACATATTGTGGTAGTATAATGGTATTAGGTCAGTCTAAATTCATAAGCGCACTTGATTAATTTACCTTACATAATATTAAGTATTGAAGAAGTAAGGGGTCTAAAGATGTGCAGATAGCGCGGGTGAAACTTTTTTTTGTATTTACTAGTTTTAAGGGAACACAAAATGGTCACTGTCTGGTGGCAACACACGCCCGCAAGATGGGGCTGACAGATCGAGAAGACCGCAAGAAATGCTTAGAGCAGGGCACCAGGAAAACAAACTAACGGACAACACTGTAAGCATCTGTGGTATAAACAGTATAATACACTGGAGAAGGTATCGACAGCGAGGCCGCAGAATCTGTTAAAATTCGCGTCAAGCGCAGGCATCCTAAACGATGACTACTCCTCTTGGACTTAGCAAGTAAACTCCCTCTGATATCGCAAAGGACCAAACTGGTCCATGGGTGGCTTATTGGTCTACCAGAATAACCTATTACTTATAGACACCACTTTAGCACAAAACCAACTTAGAGCTAGTAAGTAATCACATATGTAATTTCCAGATACCAACTACATTCTGGGGCGCGCCTTTAGATGAATCGAAGAAAGCTCGTTTAGCCGAAGCTTTCGATTGGTTCAACAGCACTTTGAAGGGTCACGAATTCGCYGCCGCAGATCACTTTACAATTGCCGATCTCACACTGTTGGTTACCGTCTCACAATGTGAAGCTTTTGGCTTCGACGTGAACTCCTACAATCGTGTCAAACACTGGTTGCAGCGCTGCAAGGACCACATGGCGCCGTACGACTATGAGGTAAATCAGCGCACATGACAATTCTTGTCTTATTATTCAGTTCTTGTTTTTTCCCAACTAGGAACTAAATGCCAGCAAAGCGACTATATTGGCCGATATGTTTCGTGCAAAAACCGAGATCCCATAACTTGRAAGTCGATTAAAATATTTGGCCATTGTCAACTGAAACGAAATATTGGGTACTTTCTTGCTTTCAAAGTAACCAAAAGGTTTTGAAACTGATTTATGATAACAATAGAAAAGTTAAGGAAATATTTGCAAGTGAAATTACAACAAAGTTTATTCAGTAAAATTATTATTTTTATTTACTATGAAAGCAGGAATATGCTCCATTTCTCTTGTTTCTTGTAGTTCTAATGTAGTACTTTAAATCGAATTGTGAACTTCGTAGTAAAAATAAAAGACACTCTTGTAGTAAATAGCACAAAGCAAAGGCGTGGCGTGTAGTCCTTGAAATTTAAAAGGGGGTGGTATATGAAAAACATGACATACCTACATATGTATATATACAACCGAAAATAGATTAAGGTGAGTTAAAGTCGACGATCCTAAACAATCAATCAATCAATAGACMGAAATCGTTTTCAGTAATAATTCCTAATATTACACGCCTCGGGTGACACAAATCAACTGACCGGTTTCTATGAAATSTTTATTGTGTTGTCAGTGGAAATTTAATTAACGCTTAATATAATAGTATGTATGTGAAAGCGTCTCAGTAAATGAAGCGGTATCCGAAAATACTGCCACAGCTGAAGGCTAAAAATACATTTACTTGGCTTAAAAGGGTGGCACCCACCCTCAATGTGTTTGTGTCGTGAAGACAACCAGGAACACAAGCCGACAAATATATTTGTGTATGTGTAAGTATATATGTGTTAATGGTATCAAAATCATTCTAAATTATACACTACAATTGATTTTCTAGTTTTTTTTTTAATTAAAGGCGCGGGGAAGTAAACTAGTTCGTACAAAAATAGAAYTTTCTATGTTTTTATGTATGCATTAGCTGCACTTTAAAGAGAGTTGCTCTCTATAATATTACCTTAGGTATTCATTAGGGCATACTTGAAGATGGATTTATTGTAAAATGTTAGAACTAGTTAAAATAGTAGTTTAGTCATCTGTCAGAAAAGGGTCTCTTCCTAATAACATGTCTGAAGAACAACAAAGTGGCGGACCCGTGGGTTGCCGGCCAAGCTATTCAAATACAAAGAACTGACAAGGCGCATGCATCAGCTTCTCTGTAGAATATGGTCGGTCGAAAGCATGCCCAACGATTGGAACAGAAAGGGAGACCCCACAATCCGCGCCAACTAACGCATAAAATATTCTATYGAGCGAATTGTATGAAAGATTAAAGCCCATCGTCAACAAACTGATTGTACCTTATCAGTGTGGCTTTTGGCTTGGAAAATCATCAAACTGACGCTGTGAAAAAAGSATCGAACTGCTTCTATGCCGCTACGTTTGAACTTGGTATCCCCACAAAGCGAATATGGTAGTGTAAGATGACRTGGAGTAACACTAAAAGCTCCGTCAGAGCTTTGTGAGGATAGTGAAAGACTTTTCCGAACCGTTCAATACCAAAGGAGTGGAGAAAATAACTCAAGCTGCAMAGCTGAATAGCGAAGGAATAATCTTCTAAAAGAGAGAGAGCTTGTCTTGTAGCCAGCATTAGCAGCAACAACAAACTCCTAATTTTTTTTTTTTTATTCCAAAGGATCGTCTATTTGTAGAAGTACCTGGTGTACATCTAAGTATATGACAGCCGGTTCATAATAAGACTAGCTTCAACTGCCAGAAAGTGGAGATTAATAATATCGAATTAATACAGTTAATACCGTGGTTAGTCATGTAATCTCTAGTGTATAATAAACCAAAATGTTTGTATGTTTGTGTTATTGTATCTTCTTTTGAACGCGCCACTTATTGTGGCGACTTAATTGTTTTTGCGATTGCTTCATATATAGTATTCCTCTCATAAAAAACTAAATTAGGTTACAGGCATCAGCAACAACATAACTAGGTAATTTTCACAGCTCATTTAGGTTTGTACAAAAGTAACACCACGAAGTGGAGCTATTTTTAATAAACCACCCGTTCCTCCGCATGTTCTAAAGTTGACAACGACACAAGTTGCTCAAGCATTTCCACACAAAGCTCACATGTGGCACATGCAACATACTATACATGTATACCATATATTTGTTTATATACCTGCCACAAGCTGTCTGGTCAATGGACAGCAGTGGGGGGCAGGCGGCAGAGTTGTCGTTTCCGTTTTGGGCAAACGATAACACCGCACACCCAAGCGCCAATGCCCAACAGCCAAGCAGGAGGTTCTACAATCACTAGCTTTAAACTGTTTCTCGGCCATYGGCGTCGCTGAAGCTGAAACCGAAGTTGCCGTGAAAGCTGTCAACGGGATAAGAATAGAATAGTCGTAGTAGAAATGGACCATGGAAATTTTTCCGCTCATGCCGCAAGCCACTTCGACAACGACTTCATATCGCAGGCAGCATCGGCGTTGGGCTACAGTTGGCTACACTCGCAGTCTCCGCTCGGCTWTTAGCACGTGTGGTCCACCTTTTGCGCGCTTTTCGCTCCGCAACATACAAAAGTTAACAAGTCAGTGCGTGTGCACCAATCGTCGCAAACGCGGCACCTAACCGGTTAGAGCTAAACACGTGACCGACGCAGTGTGCRAGTACCGTGCGAACGTGTACTTGAACACCTATTGCTAGTTTGCAGCGCAAATTTTTGCTAACACTTCATTACATTGCTGCGTACGTGACCTTCCGCAAGCTGTGTCGGATGCCRCCTACAACGACTGGGAGATTTGTGCGGTACGCGTTGCTGTTGGCCCTCCTCTGCGCGTACATTTGTCAGGGGATTGCAGCATTGTTGCAGAAAGAATTATGGYTAGGTTGGTGTGCCGCGTCGATGGTCTTTTACTTGGCCTAMGAAGCAATAGCATTAATTAACATGCCTGTGGATCTCTGTTCTTTCTTTTTATTGTTGAATGCAACTTAATGCAGAGTGCTCGTGCATGTATGCCAGCGAGCGCAATGCAACCAATTGGGGCAACATCGCCATTAACGGAAGCACTTTGCGTGGCGCCAAGAATGGCTGTTACTTGATCTWCATCGCGGGCGGCAATGACGAGTTGGTCGCTCTGCGCTTCCAGACGCTACAGCTGGCCGCCGGGTAAGTTAAGACCACATAGCAACGCTGAAGGCGAATCGTGGCAAATAATTTAGCGGKCATGCAGAGCGTTACAGGTTTCCCTTGGCAAAGCCAAATATTCTCCTTTATTTCCAAGAAGTGTGTACAAAGTTTTCCGCTTACGAAATGGTGTTTACGGAAACATGAAATGTCAAAAGAAATCAAAATTTTTGTGTCGATATCGTGCAGCAGGTGGAATTGTGATGTGTGCAACATGTGTCTTCGTGTTTACCCGGAAAAATTCCATATGTGCAGAAATTAAGTGAGTTCCGTTTGAATTTTGTCATCGGCAAGGTGGTTAGACAATAAATAGTGACTGCCCTGCTGTGTATGCCAGTCAGAAACCTGAACAAAACTGAAACTTGTTAGCAGACCCTCTTTCTTTTTTGGACATAGTACTTAAATTACATACATTGTGATAAAAAAGTGCCCGGAAGTTGTAAATAATGTAAAACCCATGAATTGTTCTTCGACAATGCCGACCGTAAACACCTTAATGCGGCGAAATAGAACTCGTTATTGACCGTCTGTCTCTCCAGAGCAAATTCATGATGCRCCAAGCCACAAAAATAAAAAAATAAAAAAATGTGCATCAGCTTGTTTTTTTGAGCGKTTTTTTGGTTTCGATTTTTTCCCTCCATTCCGATGAATGTCAAACTCATGTCTCCTCTGCTGTTATAATGCTCTCCACGAATGTGGGGTCGGAATTCGCACGATCAAGCATGTCCAAAGAGACCTGTTTACGATATTTTTTTTTTGAAAAAAAAAAACAGCTTTATCGCAAGAATGGGTTTCATACCCAAAAAAAAAGTATCCATCAACATCATTCGAACGGTCTTGCGAGAGTTGCATTCGTGCTATCTTTCTAATACTTGGCTGACTATTTTCAAGCTCCATATTATTCACCTTTTTAATATTTTCATCAGTTGAAGASGTCGAAGGTCGTCCAGAGCGAGGCATATCTTCAACGATCTCTCTACCTTTTTGATAAAACTTAGTCATCGTAAGCCTTTTCCAACATTCGCAACGATTCCGTACATGAAATTCGGTTAGAAATAAAAATTTTTGAAACAAATTCTTTGTTCGATATTTTTTCCATTCTAAAATTCGCCATGCACTTCTGGGGTGTACCGACTTGAGCAAATATTTTCAAATTGTAGTATCGATTGAAAACTCACCAGGACCATTGTAATAGTCCTTGAAAGCGTCATTCGAACCACATAGAGTTTTTATCTTAAAAAAATAAAGATAAAGTTCCAAGTTGAACTTGTGAAATAGCTTTTTACAGTTTTTTTGTTTGAGCAGAGCTCCGAATCTGCAGAAGCATCTAATAGAGATTTTTAAAAATTTTACAAAATTTTCCGACGACGAATTTTTTTTAATTTAATAAAAAGTTTTATAACAAGGCTTAATGCATTTGAGTTAAATTTCAAATCTCTATTCAATATTAATTTGTCTACTCGAGCAATGAGAATTTCATAAACACCCGTTATAAAAAGCATGCCTCAAATTAAATGCAACGCAAAATCCAACATCTGCCAATTAAATAAATTACATATGTATATGTAACTGCATAAATCCGTCCAAATACTGAACGCGCAAAGGAAAGAGAGGAGGAAAATKCAAAAATTCAAAAATTCGAAAATTCCTGTGAAAATTCCACGCACAAAAAGTGCCAAATAAAAACCCAAACGCATTGATATCTGCACTATCGTTGAGTATTTATCGGAATTATTAATGTAAATAGAAAATTTTTGGCATTAACAACGGGCGAAGCCACAAAACGATAACCAAATGTGGCAGTGCAACTTTGTGCGGCAAGGTAGCCTTGCTTGGCCCATGCATGCGTTCGCCCAATGGTGTGCGAGGCAACAAGGTTGTCGCGAGCGGCTTTGTGCAGCACACGGGCATACGTAGTATATTGCTACATGCAACATTTAAATTAACGCAATGTTGCAACTCGTCAATGCGGCCGGCGGACGGCAGCCTTCCAATAGTTGGTGGGTGGCTGGCAAGCTRTAAGTCGGAGCTGGCGCAGACACTTCGGTTGCTTGTGGCTGCTCTTATTTCCTACATAAATCTCGCTGTACTCGACATATGCACTTCTTGCTGCCACCATTCCATGAAGTGCACATAAATAAGTGTGGCTAAATGGCTTGGTGCTCGTTGAATGTGCTTTCTAAATTTAATCCGTTTTCATTCAAACATAAAGAGTTGTGTTTTTGTCACACATCATTGGCATAAATCAATCTGCCAATATCAATGTTTGCGAAATATTTTATGGCAATGAATTTATTGGACAAGCGTGTGCCACAGCTGTGGGAGGCCATCAAACAGTCAGTGGTGCGCTACTCACAGCGCGAGCATTGCCTTATTGAATAAGAAGAGCTTATTGCACCGAATTCAATTATCTACAGCGGCCTTGAGCTATATTAAAGCATGAAAATGTCCCACTGGAAGGGAGTTTGTTGTGGGAATWTTTGTGGGTCTTACATTAGTTGAAGTGTACTTCTAGCAACATTTGATTAACTTGAAATAAAAATGTGTAATAAACATTGTGACAAAAAAGTACGCGAATTGTAAATAAAACGAAAAATCACTTTTTATTTTGTTACCTTTCAAGTAATCCTCCCAGTCGAAACACATTTCATGAGCATCTTTTTGGATGGCCATTAGCTTCGGGATTCGAAGGAGCGAAAATTTCAGTGATTCATCGATGGTGCCCATTGCGTTTTTGGCTTTAAATCGGTCACAATCGTGGCTCGATGGAATTTTTCTTCCACAATTTCGACGGTTTTTGACAGATGTTCTCACGTAAAACCCTCAATGCTTGCAAATACAACTCCTTGTTGGCTGTCTGTGCCTGCGRGGCAAATCCATGATTCASCAAACCACGAATATCACGAAAAACAATGAGYATCACCTTGATTTATGAGCGGCCTGGCGTGTTTTATTATGGGTTTTCGCTCGTTCTTCCACTACATTCCGAAGAATGATGACTTGTTTGCATGTCAAACTCATACGCTCAGGTCTCATCGGCAGTTTAATGTGCTCCATGAATGTGGGCTCGGAATTCGAACGACCAAGCATCTCCAAAAAGACCTGTTTGCGCTTCTCTTTTTGAAAACAAAATCAACTTTATCGCGACAGGTCGAGCAAGAACCCGTTGCATACTCAAGATATCCACCAAAATTATTCGAACGGACTCGTGAGAGATACCGCTATCTTCCCATCTTTCTAACACTTGCCTGGTGATTTTCAAGCACAATATCCTTCACTTGTAAAATATTTTCTTCAGTTGTAGAAGTCGTAGGTTGTCCCGAACGACGCATGTCTTCAACGATCTCTTGACCGTCTTTGAAGGCTTTGTATTACTCGTAGGCTTGTGTTGTTGATACAACTGAATCACCGTAAGGCTTTTGCAAGTAATAGTGACCGTCAACACGAGGCTACAAAGTCAGCAAGCTATTATTGCTTAACCTTTGAGCAACACCTGAACTTATTCATAATAACTGAAAATTTTGAAAACACTTGTATATGAATATAATTCACCTAATGGTATTGTATTTCCGAATCCTTTGACAATAGTTGCTTTGGCAGAGATTTAAGTAATTTCTTAGACATCTCCCTCAAATTGCAACAAATCGAAAATATTGCGATTGCGTTGCCAAAGCACCGCCCTCACCGGTGGCCTGTGGCCAATTTATCTAATATAGGCAATTGCAAAGCCATACACACACACAAATGCAGCGACATATGTGCATTTATAGATGATATATGCATTTTGTATGAGTTGCGGGTTCGTGCAGGCGGACAAYGTAATGACATTTCGCAATTTCAATTGCGTCGACGCGACAAAATCAAGCGAGCAGGTAGTGGATGGCCATTAGCTATTAGAAATCGGCCATTAGCAGCGGGGTTGTAATTCAAAATTGACTTGCCGTGGAGAAGAACCATAGTGAGCAACTTGGCGGAAATCGGGCTAAAAATACAAGAACGAACATTGCAAGAAAGCGCGACGCGTTGTGCTGCAGCAAGTGCGTTCGCCAGAGCAGATCTTGGACTCTTTTCGAAGCAGACAAAAAAAATATTTCTAATAAAAAAATAATTCTCTTTCAATTTGTCAATAAATTCGAACTAAAACGGCAAACGAATTTTCAGTTAACGATTAGCAAAGCGGTTGCACGAACGCTCGAGGGTACTTGGGTCCTAACCTTGTTGTCGCGAGTTTTTAGAGACAATATAAGATTGTGTACATCCCTTCCAAGGCTGAAAAGGATAAATGTGTATTGTTTAATAAATACAATTAAAGTGAATTTTTTTTTAAACGCTAAAAAGTAAAACCGCGAAATGTCTGATCCTATCACATTTTCCGTCGACGAGATGGAGCAGGTATGGAGCGAATGCAACGCCATAAAACTGCTAAAATTTTTATATAATTTTAAATTTTTCGTGCGTGTAGCGACGTCGTCGCGCCAGCGCTGCCCGCAAGGCATCTATCGTGCGTCCGCCCAGTCCACCAAAAGTCGAATCGGAAGCAATGGCGGCCATCAATGAAATATTCAATCCGACTTATAAGAAACCCGTTACCAAAGGCAACTATCGCGCCCCCGACGAAGTGGCTGCCGATGACCTGGAAGCGATGAAGGATCTGGACATACGCAAGCTGGCTGAATTGAAAGAAGTAACGAACAAGTGGCAAATGTGCGAGTGTTGTGCAAATGACATAATTTACTTGGTGTTGACAGGTATTCGTGCTGCTCGACTTGGACAGCGACGGCTTGATTTCGAAGGATGATTTGCGCTTCACCTTCACCGCGCTCGGCACAGACACGCCGGACGAGCTGATTGAGGAGATGCTTAAGGAGGTGAATAATATRAAGTTGCCATGATTGGTGATTACATAGTTGAAGCAAAACAACAAGAACAAGTTTCTTATGTGAAGTGTGAAAAAAATGTGAAATAAAAGTGTAAATTAAATTAAAAATTAAAATTTGAGAGTGTTAAGTAGCTTAAATACATATTATTAAATGTGTGTAACGTGTTGTGTAAAAGTACGAATTTCCACACAGGCAAAGGATCCTTTGGATTACGACGCTTTCATAGAACTAATGAGCCATCGCACGGTTGAGTTGGATCCAGAGGATGTGCTGTTGGAAGCTTGGAGCAAATGGGATGATTATGGTACGGGCAAAATTGAGGAGAAGAAGTGAGTATGCGCCGACTTTTATCGCGAATGTATACATACTATTATTTAGTTGTCATAATTTTGGTAATAAGAAAGTTCTAGTTTTAGTTTCTAAGTCAAGGCCAATTCGAACATGACTTAAGAGGTTATATACAGTTAGAAGGCCGAAAAAAGSGAAATTTCAAGAATTTTTTTTTGAAAAAACTTAAAAAATTTAATGATCCAAAAACAAGTACACATATTTTGGTGTCTAATAACTGTATTTAAAATTTAGTATTAGTACAAATATTTTTTTTGGAAAGGGAGTACAGCTCATATCAGACAGATCCGCTCAAAAAAGACGTTTTGCGGTGACCACTATATCTCTGAACTGGATCCTCTGAAATTAAAAAATAAAAAAACCAAACAGATTTCGTTAAGGTAATGCTAAATTTAAAAATTAATCGATTGAGCAAGCAAACTAAAAGTTTTTGACAAAGTGGCGGTTTCTAAGAGAAATCGATTWTTCACCAAAACTTCGGACTAAATTTTTTTGATTGAGCAACAAATTATATTTAAGAAGTTCACGTTAAAATTTGATTAATTAATCGGATAAGCCGTTTTCAAGTAATGTTGGTCACCGACTTTGAAAACACCATTTTGAGAAAAAACGCGTTTAAGGTTAGSCCTTGTATTTCCAAGCGCTCTGAAAGCCTTTTCGAATTTGCATGTAACTTCGAAAATAATGTATGTTCATTAAAAAATAAAATTTTTTGAAAATTCTAGCTGTATATAACCCCTTAAATAAAACATGGATTCAACTCTATTGAGGGAAAATTTAAAACTCAAACATTATGGAGATTGTTACTTCTCTTGCCACGCAATGTTGAACTTTAAGTGCATTTCTGGAATAAAAATATTTGTGTTTGAAACCATAAGATAGCCAAAGAGGCCTTAGAACTCAGCAAAGTCTCGATTACKAAAGAATATGAATTTACCAATAAAAACGTTGCATTCGTCGATATTTCACTGACAGGTTATATTACAATCACTTGAGCGTATTTTGAAAACTATTTTCCAAGAGAAAATATATATGATTTTCTCGAATATTTTGGGTGCCGTAGTTTTATGCACAACTTCGTAGCTTAGAAAAGTGATGTGGACTTCAATTTTCGACAGCAACAAAAGATAAATTTAAAACAAGTGATCCGAGCGAAGCGAACTGTCAAATTTATATTGCAATCCTAAACAAAGTCTTCCTCTTGCTAGTTAATGATATCATTGTCAAGCGTAGTCGGAAAAAAGGAACGGAAAGAAATTGTCAGAAATTCCAATTCTATCATTTTTGATGGATACCCCGATAACTGCATTGCTTGTTCGATTGGACACTCTAGTAGGAACTTACTAACGCATAATTTTATATTGTCAACTCAGGCGATATTATTCACTTCCAAATTTTTTATAAAAAACAACAAAATTTAAAAAATTTATATAAAGGGTTATATTGCTTTCTTCGGATATAAAACACCTTTTTTTTCAAAATTTTTTTCTCATATAAAAATTAMGTATTTTATTAGAATTTTTTATTGTTACAAACATACACTATAACAAAGAAATTCTGAAATATAATATTTGGAAAAGAAATATTTTAAACTCGGCCATTGCGACGCCATTTCTGGTGACCCCGCGGAAAAAAAATGCACTCGCGTTGGCAGGATAGCTCCTGACAGGACCATCTAAAATCGGCCAAGTCTTTAAGAATGGTGTCTCAATGACCTGTGTAGCATTGCATGAAGATCGGTTAAGTAGATCTCGAGAAATMTTGCCAACCAACTGCAAAAATACAGTTTCGAGAAAAACGAGTTTACAGACGGCGCACTTAGCCCATTAGCCTCGTTCTCAAGGCTGTAGCTCCGAAACTATTACTCGGATCAACATGAATTTAGGACAATATTCTAGAAGTGAATTTAATAAGATAATAAAAAGGTTCGGTTTTTTGAAACCCGTAAACCCATGTAACCCCTTAAATAACGAGGGAAGTTCATTTCGTCAAATCTGTATGACCACTCGTTATTCTGACTTTGCCATTTTTTCTGAGAACGTTGTACTAATGTAAATTTGTTAAGGATTTAGGTATGTAATTGCGTATTGACACTTTAGCGCCACAAACAGTTAATAATACATTTTTTTTTTGTTTTCTAATCGCAAATTGCTACTGTTTTGCAGAATATATGAGGAGCTAACCAACTACGGCGATGTCATGACGACCGCAGAGGCCAACGAAGCGCTGAAGTATGCACCGATCGCCAAAGCCAAAACTCTCGAGGAGCCTGCTATGATTGACTATCCAGCCTTCTGTCGCATCCTGTGTGGCTTGCGGAAGGGAAAGCCACGAGCAGAAGAATAGCTGCAACACTACTACTTACATACATAGAGCTATAACAATATTTATTGCAGTTTACTAGCACATCCAAGGCCTCCATACCCACAACCACATGTCCACACACACACACACATATATAACGCTCCTAAGCACATATGCACACATGTGTGTGAGTGTGTGTTGTTTGGGTGTGTGGTGTCCGATATTTTATCGTGAATACCATGTAAAGTGACATTTTTATTGCGCACAAATACTTTTTTCTCCGATAACTCGAATTTTTCTGTTTGAAAATACAATAAATCAAAAGTGGTGTGTGTGCRAAGACACGCAGACTCAAATGCGCTGTGAGCGTTTAAACGGTTGGCATTTTTATTTTTAAACGCTCTGCTTGCCTCGCACGCTRTGTACATACATWCGCCTCGCATGACCAAGTCCACCAATGACTAATAAATTCTCAAACTCAATTTCGTTTCATGCATTTGCACGTTCACCGCCATCGCCACCGCTGCCCGCCGATGTCGCTGCGCTCGTCGCTTGCCACGCTACAATTATTGCCATTGCCGCTTTTGCTGCTTCCTTGCTGCAACGCCTTGCCTCTGCTCTGCTCGCTTTCGGCGCACTTCCGTTACATTTTCAGCTGTTCGGAGTACATTGAAATATTTCCGTTCCTGCGGGAGCCCGTCATTGAGAACTCGACTAATCCGGATTATGTTATTTGCAAYCGCTCCGCTGCTACAGCGCCCACCGTGTCAGCATTAGCATCTGCAACGGCTGCCACGACGTTAGCAGCCAACCGGAGTGTTGCAGCAACAAAGACCATGCCGTCACCCACAACTGCTGAAATTAAGCAGAAAGCGTCCTCGTCCGTCGCCAACACAATGACGATGACGCTGGCAGCTAGCAAGAAGCCCGYGSCGGCTGCGAGTGGCRTTGCCAACCACGCTCATTTAACGGTTATTACTGCCAATAATTCGGTTGCCGCCGCTGTCGCTGTCGCTGATTTACGTGGCAATGAGTTTATTTATAGTGCAGGCAAAATTTTCGGCATTCGCGTACGTTTTAACCAACAACAACTGCTACAGCGCGAGCCAGCGCTGCGAARTGATGTTGACGGCGGYGTTGCGCTCAAAAATTGGCTGCTTAATATAACCGGAGAGTATCGATTCTTGAAGAAGGGTATGCATTCCAATTTCATTTTATTTTTATACTTAATGATTATATTGATTGGTTATTGATGTTTGCTGCACCGGTGCKACCAATTATAATTAAATATTTTCTAATTAAAATTTCAAAAGGCATCATGGTTAAACTATTTTATATATAAAATATATGCAAATACCTATATAATACATGAAATTTAAGTTACATGCGCAAATTAAGTAATGGAAAGTCTGGGTGCTATTTAAAATTAGTTTTTGTAGACGCTTTAAATATCTAATTTTTGTTTTCATGCTTTCCTCAAAATTCCAATTGTTACTGATAAAACGCTAAGTCGGTGACTACAAATATTTTTAGCAYTAAACCAATAAAATTGTTGTAGAAGCTCGTTAAAAGCTTAAAATGTTAATAACATTTGAAAAATATTGCTCATAYGCCATGAGGTACATCAGTGGCAATTAAAGAATAATGTAGAAAAGTATGCTTTAAACACTTTTTCATTGATCAGCAGCAAAATAATTGCAGCTCCACTGAAATGATAAACAAATTTTTGTATTGCAAATTCATTTAAGCCGCCAATCGCGCCTTCCTAGTAAGCAAATTTAATGTATTATTATGCACAATAGCTTCTATAATTCTTTCTCCTATATTTGMTTAGCCTTATGGTAAAAGTTAGTTATCCTTAGATGATGCAGGTTTAAGTTAAATCACTTCCAGAACTAGATATAACTATAATATATTTAATCTACGAGTGTTCTTCCTGAGTATACAGAAGAATGAATATGGCAGTTTGTTTTTTTTTCATCCAGAATRTATCATTCAATAAAACAATACACAGCTTAATCATTGTTTTGATTTTTCTTTTTTGATATTGTCTTGCTTTCAGAACATTTTCAAAACGATGGACGCCTCATACCCGGATCATACTGTGACTATTATTTCTTTGCTGATCCCAATGCGAAACCTGACAGCTTCGAGATTTGGCAATACTTTCATTCGCCACGTTTTCCAGCGAAATATCCGGCGCACATCAAATGCGCCTACAAATTCATAGGACGGTAAGAAGTAGCAAGAAAGAGCTTCTAGAGAGAAGTATACAAAGGTTCTTTATATAGAAACATGAGTATTATCATATTTAGCGATCAAATGTGTTTTGATTAAGCTTTTACTTTGTTATTCTAGTTTAATTTTGAGGCTTCAATTGTTTCAATGTTCGTTTTTTCATGAGTTATTAAAAGGTTTGGTAAACTAAAACTGCTGAAGGGAAAAAAATCAAAAAAGGTATCAGCTGTCATAATATCATACAAGCAAATGATTGAAAGAATCTTTCATTGTCGTTATCTATAATTATAATAAATAATTATTTAAATGATAATTTTTAAATCACAGAAACGCCATTTAGTGAGAGATATATTAAAGTATGTTAATTCGTTTAACCTTTTAAGCCAACATATATTTATTCCAATTAACCACTTTGTTACTTTTTAATTCACAGTSCAGAAAGTCGCGTAGAAATAGTCTTTGAAGAGTTGCAGCTGCCGAGAAAGAACGACAGGTAAAAGGAGAAAACATAAAACCAAATAAATTTTATTTACAGCAGCTTGAAAAGAGTAAGCATGTTAAAGGAAAATAAACTTTAACTAATACAATTTCTCAATCTTGCTAAGTATTAACTCTCAAAAACTAGAGTAAAACATTTTTTTTTTATACCAAACCGCCGATTTCAGCTGCAGCATGGATAAGCTGACAATTTTCGACTCAGAGTCAGCGAATATGAACGCCGTTATTGATGTTATTTGCGATTCGCCGCCTACGCGACGCATAATTAGTTCCGGTCCCGATTTGCTAATCGAATTYAACGCCAGTTCCAATAAGACAGCCAAAGGCTTTCGCGGCAAATTCAAATTTATACACAATGAAGTCGAAGACCAATTTTTGCCAGCGATCACAAATGATTTGACAACAGGTAATCGCTCAAAGTAAAACCAAAAACGAAACACTCGAAAAGAAAATATTACTCAACAGATTTATTCTTATTCTTAAGCAATAACTTTATTTAATGTATTTTGATTATTATTTAAAGAAAAGATAATTGCTCTCGAAAGAATCGGTTTGCGGAAGGAGACTCCACGTCCTGTGCTTACGGCAGATGAGTGGGGTAAATTTTTCAAGAATAATGGTAAGTTTTGCATGCTACATATTTATCATGCTGTTTACATCTGTATATGCATACAGTGCTGAAGAAAATAATAGGGACATCGAGTTCATTCTCCTATTTTTTTGCACWGATTTTCATTTATGTATTCGCGATACGGTATTGCGGTTAACTGATGTGAATTAATGCTATCAAATATTATATAAGTATCTTTTATATACCACAAGTCGACATACGGGCACCGGGGCGGCGGTAGACTCAAAAAGTTCTGTTTACTTTGGAACGCAACTTGTATATGTCTCCTAAATTGAGTTTATAGAAATACGATTTTTTTAATGATTGTTACGTCGTGGCACCTAAAACTCCAATATTAGATCATAAGACCCTTACAAATCGACAAAGCGCTTTGAGCCAAACACAAATTTGTTGAGACGTCTTCAGCGTCGGTTATATGTTCTCTTTTTCGAGGATCAACCACTAGGGTAAGACCACCTGGATGTTTCAGCCTCAGCCTTGAAACAGATGGACATGAAGGACAGATGGCTTCTTCCTCACGCTACTCCATACAGCTTTGAATACTGTCGTCCGGCAAGATTTGCAGCCTTGCAACATATACATCATTGAACAGTGAACCAGTAAGAACACCTACGATTTCCTAAAAATGAACTGTAGCAAGAGCAACAACCAAAATACAATTTAGTCCGCAACGTAAGTGTCGCATTAGTTCAAAAAATCGTTTAAAATTAATCGAAAACAGTCCGTCGAGTTCCGAAATATGTGATTTCACCAAAAGTTGGCCGGCAGTATGATCATTTATAYATATCTCGAATAGTTTTAGGTGATACATACAATCCTTAGGTGAACAAAACAAGTGTACTTTGTTGCAAMATGTTGCAAGAGTATAAAAAGGTAGAACTAAACTGTATCTTCGCACTGTGTATAAAATCAACTGTAAACCTTGTAAAGTAGTCAATGGAACTTAACCCCAATGAATTTTGGTTAGCTAAATTGGCTCTGGGTCCTTCAGCATCAACTACRATAGCTWTTTTAAATTTTTTCTCAAGGCCTGCGGTTACTCTTCGCTATATGAATTATARATTTAGACTCTGCGAAAGTTTGGCTTCTCTAATTACATTACTCCACATAAAGTGGAGTGGAGTGGTCCACTGTTCTATTCTCTTTCGCTCATTAACTCACTTATTGCCTATAAAAACTGGCTGAAAGTAACTAAAATATAGCTAACAACTGTCTCCGCTTCCGATTCAACCACGAAACGGAAGTCGCTCTTTTCGCCGCGCATAAATTCTCATCAGCAAAGATGTATTCCTCTTTGTTTCGTARCTCTGTCTCCAGCCATCTTAGCATCCATGCATCCAGTCAAGTACTTAGCCGCAAATGAAATTATGCCTCCCGCCAACCGACGAAAGTGATTTCAGTTTTTTTTAAAAACATGCCGGCATGCGATGTAGTGTGCTTGTGTGTGTCTTGGCAACTTCATAATGCGAATTCGCCGATTTCGCAGTTACGCTTGTACACTTCGCTGTTGCTGGCGCTGTCGGCATTTGTTGGCCTTAATTTCTAGCGGAAGTGGAAATGAACCACAGCGCATATAAACGTACGTAATATTACCCTAGTTTAGTCGCACCGCGCCGCATAGCTGCGTGTAAAACCGAAAGCCGTAGACGATTATCCATTCARCCAGTCGGTGAGTGTGTATGTGTGCGTGCGAAACTTCACTTGTGGCGAAACTATCAGTTGGCAGCATTTTGCTTCTTTTCTACAACTTCCGTTCGGCAATCGGCACACGCCGCATGCCACACGCGTCTTCGCACAACTCGCTCGCCAACTGGCCTCCGATGAGCCAGCACTTACTACATAACAACATATGTATGCGTGTGGCTTGCAACCACGGCATCCTTTGCAGCTGCCACAAACGTTCAGTTTTAGTTTTACAACTGAAGTGGACGCTTCTTAGCGCGTGAAAAAATCCAAAGCAATCGGAGCATTCGAATTCGCGTATACGTTCGGCTTGCCAGCGCGCGCCAAAACAATCGTTTTGCAACACGAAGTTGCCTTAACGTTAAGTGCACAAATTTGAATTTGAAGCGGCGGTTTGCGTCTCCAAGGTGTGGGGGTATGGAAAGTTGTGAATTTGATTAGTGAAAACTTGAAAACCAAAGGAAAAATAATAATTTTGTCTTGACATTGGAAGACGCGAATTATGATTGAAATTCAGTGGACCCGCGTGCATTCCGAATGGATGGGTCCGTTGTTGATTTTGATCTGCTGGCAAGTGTTGCCCACGGTAAACACACAAACAACTTCGTTACCAAGTACAAYGACAACAACTATASCGCATATTTTCTTCAAAGCGTCGCCAACAAATGCAAGCAAGGAGCTGTGCACCTCTGTGGGCAYTGCCAGTGAGTGAAAAGTTGCCAATAAATTTATGTAACAATGTKTGTCAGTTTGTGTTGGTGAATCAACAAGTGAGATTTCAGTTGTTAAGAAGTTCCATCACTAAAATATTTTTCTACCTTTTTAACTATTTAAAGTCTTTACACCTTTAGCTCTGTAGGGCGCTAACAAGTATTCGAAATATGTTGGGCTGTTGAAAAACGTCTTTTCGTAACTTGTCAATTGATGTCGTTGCAATCGTATAGTGTTGGAAAAGAGAGATTTTAACCTCCATTAAACTRAAAAAAGAAAAGAATTCGGAGAAGTTGAAAAAAAGTTACAGCAAGAATGCCACAAAAGCCACCAATGAAATATGTGAAGTTTRCGGAGCCAATGTAGCACAACAATGGTTCGCTCGCTTTCGTTCTGGAAATTTCGATGTGAAACATACACCTCGCTATAGTCGACGTATTGTTGAAAAAGTCCATAAAATTATCGGAAAGATTGGCCAGGACCGTCACACAAGCAGCCATGACATCGCTAAGAAACTTAAAAAAAAAGGCTGTCTAAAAAAAAGCCAGATGCTTGGGTACCACATGAGTTGTCTGTGAAAAATTTAATGGAGCAAAATCTGAGATTATTTGCTGAAACCTAATAAAATCGAACTATTTCTGCAGCGAATGGTAACAGGAGACGAAAAGTGGATCAACTACGACAATAATGTGTGAAAAAGRTCATGGTCATGGTCCAAGCGTGTTGAAGTTCAACAAATTGTTGCAAAGCCCTGATGGACGCCTCGAAAGGTTATGCTGAGTGTTTGGTGGGGTTTGAAAGGAATCATCCAYTATGAGCTGCTCCAGCCTGGTCAAACGATTGATTCTACWCTTTACWGTCCACAGCTAATGAGATTGAAGCAAACAAACGAAATATAAAACGGCCAGAACGGAGCTACAGGAAAGGACTTCGTTTTCCGTCAGACGTCCAACGCTATCCACACATCTTTGATGACTCCGCAAAACTGGGAGAGCTTGGCTGGGAWGTTTTKATGCATCCATCATATAGCCCTGACCTTGCACCATAAGACTATCAWTTGTTTCGGTCAATGCAGAACTCCTTTAATGGAGTAAAGTTGGCTTCAAGACAAGCCTGTGGAAATTATTGGTGTGAGTTTTTCGCTGAGAAACCAGAAAAGTTGTACGCTGATGGAATAATATCTCCAGTGGAAGATTGGCAAAAAGTGGTCAACCAAAATGACACATATTTGGTTCACTAAAGCTCATTATAAAATGAGTTGAAATTTGATTATAAATACGAAAAGACTTTTTCGATTACCCAATATTATAAAATGAAACCCTTTCTTTAATAGCAAGTAAGTAAATGAAATAAAACATTGCTCTCACACATCCCGTGTTGCTTTTGTCATATATTTTCCAACAATTTAGCATACTTACAATGCAGTTTTCGGCGAAAACTCTCTACAAAAACATTATAAAATGCAAAGAAATTTACAGAAAAAGTATACTAAGAAGGCCAAAAGACCGGTCAACAGCGCTTTCAATAGTTGGTGTAAAATCTTAAATCTAGGCAAAGAAAGAAAACATGAAAGTGTCAAAACTAAAAAAACAGTTACAGATCCGCAATGTTCAGCTGCTTACCTTTTATACATTTTTCGCGCCCTTTCAAGAGTTTCTGGTCCCTCTTTACCCAAATATAAGCGCATGCCTGCCAGGGAGAACTGTAAATATTCCGTCCAGTTTATGGACCGCATGTCAAAGTTGAAAATTTCCTTATCCCTCACTGATAACGAGTCCCACAATGATCTGGTGTTATCCATAGTAAATGCGAATTCAGTTACAATGAAGTATTCCATTGCGGCATTCAGTTTGTGTATGCTCCGATAGAGTTTGCTCATTCTAAATCCAAACAAACAAAGGATAAAGATTCAATAAGTAAAGGGGTGTGATGAATTTTCGTTCAAAACACCGTTTATGGAGGGTAAGTAAAAGCGGACACTGAGTTAGTTAATTGTCTCGTTATACCCAGTAAGTAACGGGACATTTACAACAACCAATTCCCACATGAGACACAAATGCTAACCTTTTTCGCTTGCCCTTTAACATTAGCAGGAAATCGATTATATAGCCGGGTATTGTGTGATAGAAGAAGGTCAATATATCATATAACCATTTCTGGCCAACAGTTATCATGTATGGAAACCAAATCATTTGAGCAATAGGCAGTACGGGGCTAAAATCAGTAATGGTTTTCATATATTGTTTCCAGATCAGTGGATTCTTATCGTCATTTGTGTAGTTGTAAATCGGTGGCGCCAAATTTAAACTGCAAATGTAGAGGTTATAAAATATTTGACTCATTTCCCGCAAATCTGACACACCGTTGTCGCTGATCTGAGTGCGCAGTTTCCCAACCGATGGCCAGCATTAAGCTGGCACAGGAATCTGCCGGYACCAGATGTGCCCTATGTTCCGACCTCATTTGCATTACACGTAGAACGCCACGTGCGCATGCGTACAGCGCCGCCGAAGGACCATATAAGTTGCCGGCCCAGCCGGTAACAGGTTCTTTATACGTTGGCACAACTAAAGACGAATGTGTTAATAATGCAT